GATACGACGCTTGGGCACGGGCCTTTGCATTGCTCGTGGGAATTATCATTACCCATATCGCGTTAGCTTTTAAATCATCAGTGTCACAAAACATTCATACACCCATTGATTAGTATACCTCATTCCTCGACTATCTTTCAACTTTGCTGCATCAAAACAAGTTTTCACGTTTATCTTTTGGTTCTCTGGCAAATTTTCACAAGCAGTTATAATCACTTATTCGTTCGCCTTGGAGTAATTAGTTTTCAACTGTGTCATCCTAGATTTGAGTTTACTCATCTAAATGTTTAAAAGAATAAAAATGTTTATTACTTGAACATTTTTTCTTAATTACAAAATATTTTTCAATATTCGACTTCGTATTGCGTTCAAATACCGTACACGTGCTTCGTTCCATTATTGAACGATACTATTAAAAAGATACAACTTTTGCTAATAAATAGGTTGATATACAAGATTAATATCAAACGTATGTTGTTTCTTGACCGAGTGTATTCGTAGTAAACGGGTATGCAATGAAAATGCACAAATGAGATCGGTGGAATAGTCGCGTAAGCATGCCAAGCCTTTAGAATAATATCGAGACGTTTTCGGGAAAAAAAGTAAGTTGTATAATGAACGTTCATAGCATTATGTAATTAAATAAAAATTATAAGATCAATTATTGACGAATAATCATACACGGAAAAATTCTACAAAGTCTACTGCATTTCTGCTTATGCCATTAGTAATTTCATTTGACAATGAGTATGCTGTTAATGATATTATAAGAAAGAGGATGATATAAGAAGAAAGAGCATATTACCTTTGCTTTCTGTTTTTCAGATTTCCTTTTCAAATTTTTACAAATCAATGTCTTTCGTTGAAGTTTTTTTCTCTCTTCAGCTAATTGAATTTCAAAATCACGTTTGTGTTTCAACTATCGCCATTTCATTTGACATTTAACGCATCTCATAATTTTTGATCCTGATTAACTAAATCTTACGTCAGTAAAGCCCAGACATTTTTTCGAACTATTCATGCAATTAGAGCAAATTTTTTAGTACATAAAATTACTTTGAGTTCAGGGAGATGATCAAAGCGCGAATAATATACTCAACATTGTGATGCCGTTGATCGTCTGACACTCAAAGATAGAATTAGAGACATAATTGTTTAAGACTTCAATATCACATGCAGATTTTATCATTGTCTTATAATCAATGTCCACTTTCGTTTCTCCAATGTAAATCTAAAATTGAGTTACAATGATCGACTTCATGACAGTTTTGTTTTTGCACAGAAGAATATGCCCGTACTCCATATCTTTGTCTTTTAATCGGTCATCATGGTATTAAAAATTTATTTGACTTTTATACGAATAAAGTTTCAGAATAATAAATAGTATTAAAAACGTATATTAAAGAACTGTCATGTAAGCTGCTACGATGTTGAATCAATCGAAATCATAATTGAGTGTGAATATGCCGCAGTAATAAAAGCCCGACAACAAAAATAGTAGTATAAGCTATTACTAAATCTGTGCTTCAGCAAATTCACAAATTCCATGACACATAAGAAAATGAAAAAATGTTAATCATGGGAAAGGGTATAAAGCTTTTGACTGGAAGCTATAAAAAACAAGAGTTTTTCACGAAACTTTCGGGTGGAACGAGATTGCACGAAAGACCGATAAGTAGACGTGCAATTTAGCGTTAGATCTTCTTCTAACGGTATAGTATATATTTTTAATAATTTATCGAATGATAAAGATGCAATACGAAATTAAAATGTATCTATACAGAAGAATCATTGTTCGAGACCATGTGTATGCATAAAAATGGTATTTTCTATTCTATATTTTACAGCTACTTTTAAAATATCAATCAATCGCAGGTTTAATTTGATTTTATTGAAGAAACATGCTTGCATTTTCGTAACTGCCAAAATACGTGATTATATAATTATGTCTGATTTATGAGTTCGTTGAGCATGTAGTGTATGCGAAAAAAAATTTATAAATATTAAATATAAAAAAAAATAATTATGAAAATTTATTGAAAACAAAATATGGTTACATTTCCGGAATCTATAGAAAAACAAAATTATTCACACCATATATTTTAGTTGCATTGTTTATCAGAGGCGATGTTTTTAACAGATATATTGTCAAGAGGCTTGTTGTTAAAGAATTGAAATTCATAATTATATTCAATATTTCCAAAATAAATATGAACTATTCATTATCCTACTAGTAAAAATAATTTGTACAAATTGATTTGTCATTTATACTTTGATGCTGTGTTAAAAAGTAACGACGTTAGAACGTAAATTATTAAGTTTCTGCTAAAAATTACCAGATTTTTAGTTCTTCAAAATAGTAAAACAAATTTCTCTTCGAATGAGGAGTTTTTTAAATGAATGTGATATTTGGCGATGTTTGGCTTACAAATATTTTTGAAATGTAATATTTGTTGTAATAACAAAATATTCTAAACACTGAGCTCACCTGCTTATTTCTTTATATATTGCCGTTCCAGTTATGTGATTTATAAATATTTTTTTATAAGATATTATGAAAATTTTTGCACAGGATAGATCCCACGATCCCAGTTGCGCTAGCAAAAGCTTTAGCACTTTCAACCATCGTAACGTTACCATATTAAAGACGAAGGTCATTTATCATCATTTAGGACCGTATGGGCTTGTAATTAAGTCATTAGCATGATAGCTTGTGATAGGTTTATTTATATTTTTTTTTATTATTTCTAATTCTAATTGGATATTCGTTAAAAAAAATATCTTGATAATATAGCAATCATAGTAATTCATTCGGTGTAAGAACTGTGCATGAGTGAGTACGACAAATATATCAACTGAGTACTGACTGCGCGCTACGGGTACCATCCGCCAGAGGGGTGTGTAACCAATATAGGAAGCCGTTCTGATGAGCGAGCCTGTTCAGCCTGTCGATCTCGGGTAAGAAAGTTGCCTCATTTTGAATACACGGAGTTGGATCTTCTTCTCTCTTACTCCCTGATTTTCATGAAACTCCTGAACCTCCTTAAGTCAAAGCATGTCAATAATCCGTCAGGATTCCGAAAGTTTTTCATGCGCACTTTCTACGACTCAAAAATACAACTCTAGTAATATTTCGTATATTTCATCCTAATTCAAACTACTAGTCAACTGTTTATAAATAGAAAAATGAAAACAAAAAATTCATAGATATATTTAAGGAGGCTCCAGCGACTACCGCCGGGATCAAAAACACAACAAAAAATAAACTTTCAAACTAACGGCTAAAAAATCTTATAAGCAGTTTCTAAAGCAATATTATTACAAAATAGTACGATTTTCAACTACAGTTGGTAACTTTTTACAACAGAAGTTCCAGAACTTGAGTTTGGTACGACGCACATAACCTATAAAGTAGACAATTTCAGACTTTTTTGGAGAATATCTCCAAATTTTCCACGGCTATCCATATTTTGCAGTACACCATTCGAAAGACCAAGTTTTTATCTATAAGAAGATCAGTTTTTCATTGCGTAACTACACCATTAGTTATTGATGAATTTCTAACATTTTTTCACCTTGTTCCATAAGATACTATACAAAAAGCGCAAACTTTGAGATGAAATATCTCGAAATTTTCCACGGCTTGAGGGGTAAAGAAGGATACCGTTGGATTCAGTGCATTTTCATTTATCGAAATCACTATAACTAACATCGAAACTTATCAATACCCCTCCTCGCTGGAGCCTCCTTAAAAAGATTGTTTTTTTTGTAATTTTAAGTTATAAAACCGATTTTCTATAAAAAAAATAGATTTTGAAAATAAATTTATTTTCAACCTACTTTACCTTGTACCTATTTGTGGGTGATTTGAATAGAGAAATATTGAAATACTTTTTTAGAATTTTATATTTTTATACATTTTTAACAATAAATTAAATTAATTTAAATAAATAAATAAATTAATTAATTTAAAGCTTATTATGTATTTAAAAAAATTTTCGAACGACATACTCGCTTATAAAAGTATATTCAATTTCCAAACTTTTGCAAATCTTATATATACGTTCAATTCGAATATATGGCTGAACTGGAAAATTCAGTTCAAATCCTAAATATTCAAGAATATTTAATGATTACAATGCAATTAGTTACATAAATGATTAAATAATGAAAGTAAATTATATTTGCAAAATGCGAATATTATCAGAAACAACAGTGTTAAATCACGTTATTTGATTAAGTGATAAAAATATTCAATATATTTTATAGTTTGAATATGTTATAATGTGATTCATATGTTGAATTATTCAGAATTATATTTGAGGTTTTCTCATAAAAAACAGAATTATAACCGATATTAAAAATACAAATATTAAAATTGTATTACATTAAGAATGCTTCCAATACATCTTTTCATAATTTTTAGAGAATGTAAAAATAATATTACTTAATTATTAATTTTTAGAAAAAAGTGTTTACCCAAATTTCATCGTGAGTGCCTTTTAAGTATATATTTAACATCTCACTTAAAATAACAAATAATTACCGAAAAATCTACATTGTCAATCATCATTTCATTTTTTTAAAACCTTCTATAGAAATATTAGTAAACTAATCCTATATAAAGTTCTAAGAGTATTCAATTATATCTGGATAGTTTTCAAAAAACCTTTCGAAATACAAATACTTTTTGACCATGAAATTAACTATAAAAACAACTAAATAAAAATACATTATTAATAAGAAAATTTTTTTAATCATACTTAAGTTTTTATTGAAATTAATGAAATATTTAAGGTCTGTTATGAATTTTTAATATATTTTTCTGTTTTTTATTTTAAGAAAAATGGTTTAAAGGAAAAATAAAATTATTACGTTTAAATACTTTTTCAAATTTTTGTGCATATTCGCACGCACACGGACACGCGCGCGTACACATTCACACACAAAGTCATATATATGCGTACACACGTATACCATAATTTCATTATATTTATCACCTTAAATCTCCATGATCCTCTCCATCAATACGGTGGGGGCGTAAATCCTGCCTCGGTTTGAGGACAGGGGTTAGCCCCCATTTTTCGATGAACTCTATGCGGGAAATCTTGACGTTTCGTGATAGTTAAGAGAGGGGGTTGCTCCCCCTCTCGAGCTCCATTGTCTCTTATTACTGCACGTGTAAAAATTAGTGCAAAAATACTACTTATCTTAGTTAATTCTTTGTTACTCTTCTCGTATCAATTCTATTGCTTGACAAGTCCGGTGTTTTAGCTTTCCCCTCTTTCTGCAGCGGAGAACATCCACCAAAATGGCTGCATTATCAAAATCTTGGAAGAGTATCTTTCAATTTTGTAACAGTTAGCTTTCTTATTATAATAAAAAAGCATTGAACTGAACGGAATATTCTTGATACGATAACGAAGTATACTGAAATACTTTTAGTTTTTCGTCAAGAATTCGATATTGTAGTATAACTTTTTTAATGCTTCGCATAAATAATAGAAATACACATAATAAAACTTTCGAATAATATGTAACATTTTTATGATTAATTACCAATAGGCAAAAGTTGTTCAGAATTTTTAGATATCACAAAAATATTTCGGAGATCGCTCTTTTCTGAAGAGCTATTATATTACGTTTTTCACTATTCGAATAGTTGTTACAATTGTTTTTTATTTGAAGTTATGAAGTTTTTTGCCTTCCACTTTTGAAGTATTTCGCTGTAGAGTAATATATTCTCACAATTTGAGCTACTATACTAATATATGATAAAGATACATAAAGAAAACAGGAGTACGTTATTTAATTTATTTAATCAAACTATTCAAGAGTATCCAACCAATAATTTAATACAAAAATACTACTTTCGATCACAAACTGTAATAAAAAATTAGAAATCCTACGAGCGCCTAGGTTACTCGATCTATTCGTATAAGTTGAATAACTTACTTGGCATCTGCGCGCGTTCTTCCACCCTCCTATGCACAATTTCTCCCTCTACTATTTCAACACCACGTGTTTACATATAAGTATTATATTTTTGTAAGAAAATCTATGAGAATATTGACATTTGTCTTCAAAGATATTTCCATCTTCCCATGTTTTTTATTACATTTGGTACTCATGCAGTAACGTAATCATTATATTATTGATCATACCTTGTAAACTATACATTGCTATGAAATAGGCATGATTAACTTTGTAAATTAAATGGATACTTCAGAATGAACATAAAAAATATATTAATATCGTATATCAATTATGTATTAAATTCTAGATTTGAAAATACACATACGCACACACATACTAATGTTTAAATAAATTATTTAAACCTTAAATATACGACTATAAAACTGTTTTCATTTAAAAAAATTGTACGTAATGAGAAACAAAAAAATTTATATAAGTCAATATAAACCTCTGAAGTTTTTTTAAAAAAATATTCATCACATAAGTTTTCCCCTTTCAAAGAAAACTAATTATGTTGCGTTGATATGTAGAATTTTTTCAAAAATTCCATAACTGTAATAAAACAATTTTTTTATTAATTAAAGAGTTTTTTATAATTTTCAGAAAAGATTAGTATTGGGATATATATTATTACTTTAAAAGAGGTTTTTCAAAATTCCATCATAGAAATTAAACACAGATGAATTTATTCTTAACAAAGTTCTTATTTCCTTTCTAGTATTTTATATATTAATGTATAATCTTTTTTCATATCTTTTTAACATCGTTTAAAAAATTATTATGTGAAAGTTTTTTATCTGGCCAATTAAAAATTTAATCAAGAGTTTTTCAATTATTCTGTAAAATGTAAAGCTTTTTTACTAAAAATGTAAAGTTTTTTTATATTTACACTGATTGGTGTTTTCAATTATTTTGTAATTATCAATCTGGCATCTAATTAATTTACCAACAAAAAAATACTTATTTATATTGAATAAAAATTTGAAAACAAATAATTTAACAAAAACCATATAATTTAAAAATCTGATTTCCAGTAAGACTAAATTTTTTTAATATTACGTCTTCTAAACATACTCTACATGTATTCCATAGAAAAATATATTTTTCTGTTTGATAGGAAATTGCATTAATTTTTAAGAAAACCGAAAACATTTGATAAATGTTTGACGCAAGGAAAATCAAATTTTTTAGTTTTAAGTTATTTTTGTTATTATAAAAAAATTTCAATCACGCATACTCATGCGAAAATGCGGTACAATGGCTTAAGTATTTTTTAATATACTTAGTATATTTACCAATCTAAAATTAAAATAAATACATACTAAAAATTCTAATAATATATTCTATAAGCTTTTTAATAAAAATTTTCTGCTTAGAAAATTAAAAAATACTTAAGCCATTGTACCGCATTTTCGCATGAGTATGCGTGATTGAAATTTTTTTAAAATAACAAAAATAACTTCAAACTAAAAAATTTGATCATCCTAATTAAAAAATATTAAAATTTTTATAAGAATTATTCTAGATTCCACATACATTCCACATATATAGATTTCTATATAGAATATAAATTTCCATATATTTCCATATAGATTCCATATGAATTCCATATCAATTTCAGATGGATTTTCAAGATGGATTTCAATTTGAATTTCATGAATAATTGAGGTAGATTTCATGAAAAATCTAGGTTAATTTCTTGACAAATCTAACTGGTAAACCATTTTATTATTTTTAAGTTATTTTTGTTATTTAAAAAAAATTTCAATCACGCATACTCATGCGAAAATGCGGTACAAAGGCTTAAGTATTTTTTAATAAACTTAGTATGTTTACCAATCTATAATTAAAATAAATACATACAAAAAATTCTAATAATATCTTCTATAAGCTTTTTAGTAAAAATTTTCTGCGTGGTTTTCAATGACCCTAATTGAAAAATATTAAAATTTTTATAAGAATTATTCTAGATTCCACATACATTCCACATATATAGATTTCTATATAGAATATAAATTTCCATATATTTCCATATAGATTCCATATGAATTCCGTATCAATATCAGATGGATTTTTAGGATGGATTTCAATTTGAATTTCATGAATAATTGAGGTAGATTTCATGAAAAATCTAGGTTAATTTCTTGACAAATCTAACTGGTAAACCCATATGAATTTTGTGCAAAATTTACCCTGTTGAAAAAGTTTAGTTAGAATTACAAGATGGATTTTCTGATGGAATCCAAATGAATTTTTGTTATACTATTTATAAAAAATCATTTCTTTTGTGAAATTATTATTTAAAAAAAATTTTTAATGTATCAAACTGTTAATATTAACAAAACAAAAATTAAATAAATAAATAACTGAGCGTGGCTCATATCTAGAACTTTTTATTATATAGTCTTACTCACTATATCTTATTTTCTTAACTTTGTTTTGATAATATAATTCTCGTATATTACTAATTTTTAGATATATATTGTGTTTGTACTAATAATTTTATTTATGTGTATCATATATGACTGAGAAAAAAAATATATATATAAACAGAATATAAATGAGTAAATAATCTTATGCATGAAATATAATTATGGAAATTAAGTTGAGAAAATAGCTCAGACAGAAGAGTGTTAGGCTAGAAACGAAGAGGTCCCGCGATAGAGCCATGTTGAATCACCTTTTTTAAATTTATGAATATTAATATTTTGATAGATTAAAACATTATTAAAAATAATAATTTCACAAGAGACAAAATTTATAATTAGCATAATAAAAATCCATATAGTTTCTACTTGGATTTTGTACGGAATTCATCTGAATTTACTCAGAAATATATCTAGATTTATCGAGTAATTCTCCTAGATTAGGTACTAATCCATCTAGATTTTTCATGAACTATAAATGAAAATTCATTATGGAAATTCACCTGGATATCCGTGAGGAAATTCTCCTGAATATCCGTGTGGAAATTTAGTCTGGAATTTGAGACAGATTTTTACAATGTATAGTACATAGTGGTTATATATATTTTTTAATATCTTTTGAAGTAGTTGACATGCCAGTTAATTTTTTTTGTCGAAACATACTGTATGATGGAATACATGTTAAGATGTTTGAAAATCAGAGGTTTTAAAGAAAGCGAATAGACATTTACATCTTTGATGGATTTGTACATATTTTTCAACAGATCATAAGAATGCCAATTGTGTACTTAATTGGTGATGATATTTTTTATCTACTTATTAATTGGATTAAATAGTGCTGTTAGAAAACGTAAAAAATATGTGTGAAAAGTCTTTAAGTGTCTCGTATTGAAAGGTAACACCATCCTGCGGCGCAGTAGTAGGCTAACCAGATGAGCAGGGCGCGTAGCTTAGTTTATTATCGAAGCAAGTCTAAGCACGAGCACGAGGATCTTGGCTTATTTCTTTGTTCATAAAGATGATATTTATCAGAGTTTCACAGCGTTTACTTTTAGAAATTAATAATGAGTACAGTATGTCAATTTTAGTGCAAAGGTGTCAGTGATTCCGCTATTTACCTTGTGGCCACCAATTTCCCGACATAATAGTTTAAAAAAATTAATCATCTATTTTAATCATTATACTCATCTAGAAAAATCATGTAATCAATTTTATACATACAAGTAGATTTATCGTACATATAATATCTCCCCTCACCTTCACACACCTTTCAAGAAAGGTAAAATTGTCATACGAGTAGGCTTCAGAGACTGTTTTCAAATAAATTTTTTGAACATACTAGAGACCCTAGTGCTTTGTGTCTTGTTTGGTAATTGATTTAAATGTATATTTATATTTAAATAGTTGTAAAATAACATTAATTAATTATAATGGTAAATTTAAATTGCAGAGAAAGGGATAACTGAAGAAAAGGAAGAGACAAGTCGGGGAGTCGAACCCGCGAGCTGTGGGTCGGCAGATCAGTGATCTACCACTAGAACCACTGTCACATGTACGTTGGAGAGTGTTTATTGTGTATATTGGCTACATATTTGGTATAAGGCCCGAGCGCTCGGAAGAGGAGAGCTCATGCTCTCTCTCTCTCTAAAAAGAATATACCGTTAGTCTTAGGGTGCTCTTACATGCGAGCGGACAAACGTTCGAGCGGACAAGCGGACACCCAAAACTCATAAAATTTTGTCCGCCGGTCGAAAATTTTTTGTCCGCTGGCGGACGGAAAACTGTCCGCCGGCGGACGAACAAAGGGTTCTCCGTTGAAGGCTCCAGTATATTGGTATCTCAATAATTATCAATTGTTTTTTTTTCAATAATGCCATTTGCCATTCTCACGGCGTGCGGAAAGTAGCCTTCCACACGCGTTTATCGAGTTCTTTTTAGGACTTTTAGCTCTGCGGTTTGATAACTAATGATTTTAGCAGAAAAAGCTTCAGATAAAAGTTGTTCCTTATTATATTATCTACAAAAAAGTCAGTGAAGGCACTATTCTAAAATTATTATTTGACCAAAAAAATCACGAAAACCTGAAATGGTTTACAAAATTTCATGTTTTTTCTTAATTTGCAAGTAAACTAATGTATTTACAATAATGGCTACACTGACTTTTTTGTAGATAATATAATAAGGAACAACTTTTATCTGAAGCTTTTTCTGCTAAAATCATTAGTTATCAAACCGCAGAGCTGAAAGTCCTAAAAAGAACTCGATAAACGCATGTGGAAGGCTACTTTCCGCACGCCGTGAGAATGGCTTCAAATGGCATTATTGAAAAAAAAACAATTGATAATTATTGAGATACCAATATACTGGAGCCTTCAACGGAGAACCCTTTGTTCGTCCGCCGGCGGACAGTTTTCCGTGCGCCAGCGGACAAAGTTCTGTCCGCTAGCGGACAAAATGTTGTCCGTCAGTGTCCGCCGGCGGACAGTTTTCCGTCCGCCAGCGGACAAAAAATTTTCGGCCGGC